TGGACTAGCGGCTGACTTGCGTAGTATAGGTGGCACATCGTTCCTCTCAAAGAGTTTAACAATGACAGGAATAACGAGGTGCATATATTCTTCAATGTTTGTGCCGAATACTACAAGTGCATGTAATACTCTTTGGGTGGGTTGTCGCTTATCGCTCTCGTCTTCATCAAAATTTTTTAGCATTATAGGCAAAAGCCTAGGAAGATAATTTTTAAATTCGCCGTCTAGAGCCTTTGCAAACCTATGTCGCAAGAGCGACCGTCTTGAATTTGCTGAAAAGACATTGTAATTTGAATAGTAGAACTCGGGTTCCAGAATTTTTCGACTAGACCAAAAATGTCTAAAAGGTAATTTCTGACATGTTGTTGGACAATAGAAACTAGTATGCTAAGCTGCTGAAAATAAAATTCTAGCATTCCAGACGGACATGTATTCATTACTCCTATGAATGCTGGTGTTATCTATTTAAATAAGCGTAATTATAAATATATTTATAAACATTTCGTTAGAAAATAATAATGAAAAAAACATACTTGTGGTAAGAATGGTACGCATTTTAAGCTTAAAGTTTTAAATATGTACATAACGGCTTGAATAACAGCTGTATGATGGGCACTCAATGAGGGATCTCTTAATATTTTCATAAGGGCATTTATTACAACTGTAGGATAATATTCTTCTGATGATGGACCCATTCCAGTCATCAAAAGAGAAACATCAGTATTTGATGATTTTGGATCTGTTAGTGAATCATCCGAGGACCCAATTGTTATCTATAAAATTGTTCATAAATTATATTGTTAAATAGGCAATCGCTTCCAATAAACATAGGTTTACATCAATATTTGTTACCTTGTGTCGATAAGGATCTAGTGCACCTAGAATTCCAACCAACTTGACTGTTTCCCGTCGTATTGAGGGAGACTGCTCCGTTTTCAATATGTTGATAAGAATAGTAAGCAATTTAGGATATTTTTGATACGGTTCAATGACGAAGCCTGTATTACTTGTAAGCTGGCCCAATGTTTTTAAAGCAGCGTCTCGTTTGACTGTAGAACTTTGATCTTGTAAAGCATCAATTATTAATGGCATTAAGCTGACCAAGTAGGGAATTAGATCTTCTCCTCCAACGCGTGCTAATTCACCAAGTGCAGCCAAAACACTAGATGCGACTGCAGGACTTGGATCTCGAGACTTAGGTAATAGTGCTTTAAGTATTGACTCGACGTATGGTTTAATTAATCTTTGTGAAGCCGATACTAATAAGCTCAATAACTTAGCGCTCTCTTCTTTGTTACGACTGAGGCAAAAATTCAATTTAATAAAAATTTAGAATTCTAATAGTATATAATAAACTTTTTAGTTACCTAACACCAGAATATTCTAACTCCGTTAGAAGTTGAATCAAAGTTTTCCGTAAGGATGGCATCACATATGCAGGATTATGGGAAGCTAGTCGTCCTATAATCGTAATTGTAATTTCACGAATAGTAAATACCTCGTCATTGAGAGCGATAAACAGAGAACGAATATTCTCCGCTTGAGCCAAGTGTCGGTCAAATCTTTCGGTAAGATTTGAAAGAACTGTCTCCCGAATTAATGGATCTGAGAGCCAACGAAGATAAAACACCGAATTAACAAAAAATTTAAAAGCATAATTATAAATTTCGGTAAGGTCCTTACCAGGATCAGCAACTCCGACAGTCAATAGCTTCTCTAATACCTCGTTTACAACTTGAATTGAGTGATTACTTGTTTGATCCAAAATTGGATCTCGAGTGAATAGTTGGCAACAGGTCAGTGCAGCTGCCTCACGAACTTCATGATTGTCCTGTTCTAAATAGCGAACTACACAGTCTCGGACAAACTCGTTTAATATATGTCCTGAATTATTTAATGCACATAAGATATTTTAGTATAAATTATATGAAATAAATTCATAATTATGTGATAAACAAACCTTCAAAATTAAAACTCCCAAGTGTTCTCAGAGCAAGCGTTATTGTCTCTACATCTTTTAATTCAGACATTTGATTTCCGAGATGCCGTTTCAAATCATTTCCTTCCGGTACTGGTGATCCAGGAGGCCGGAATGGTTGTCCACTCAACATTGTTGATAGCATGTTTAAAAGACGTTCTTTAATTCAAAAATTACTAAATTTTAATAGAGCTCACTTAACAATATGAGATAACACTAGTAAGCATTACCTTGAATGTTTGGTAATAACGGTGGAATAAATACCGCAAGCTCCGTAAGAGCTTGTCTAA